AAAGCCCTAACCAGGAGACTGGGTCACATAGGCCCCGTTAGGCTCCGTGGCTGGGGACCTCGGGATGATGGTCACCGATGGTTAGAGACATTGAGCGATCTGGCTGGGTGTCGCAAACAATGGCGCTCATACATCTACTCATTATTCTCTTGACACTAGTCTATGTGAAATATCCATCTTCTGTTTAAGTTTGCTTTTACCATTCCAGTCGTCATCCTACTCTTTTATCCAAATGGGCGACTTCAAGACGGCATCCAAAACCGCCCCAAGAAAGTGCATAGTTAATGGTTGTAAAAACTGAACTGAAACTGATCGGTTCATTTTGGCTTTTCAAACAATCCACGATGAAAGCTAGTAGTCATCTGAACCAAAATAACAATCGCATGACGTTTTGTTACACATTGTTGTTTTAATCGGTAGAAGGAGTAACTCCGTTAGGTGTGTAGCATGCATACAGCAGGCCGTCGATCGTATTTGATTTCAAATATCGAACCACATAGATTTTTTCAAGGATGGGAGTGTTCTACAGCGGCACTTTTGTTCATATATGAGTTCACTCATGTAGCGTTCGAACCATTTGTCATGACATCCGCTCCCACTATGTTTATGGATTTCTCTTCATTATCATTTTTCCTACTAATGTTGTATACTGCCGAACCTGATATAGTTTACGCAGGTTATTTATTTATTGTTTGCACCTTTCAAATAGAACTAACTGAATTATGCTTATGATCTTTCTACTTCGTTCTATCGTCGGTTCCCGTAGGCCAAATAGGTAAAGGCACCAAATCATGGATGTGTAGAAAATCGATCTCAAACATGGTTCACTCCCTTTTTGCTGTTCACAATTTCATCCAGCTCCCTTGCAAATGAGATAACAGTGGCATTTTGCTTCCCTCTTCACGCTTTAATGCTCTGTTTCAATCGTATTCCTCTTAACTCCCAATAGGGCATGATTTTTATCCTCAAAGTGGCTTTCACCGTCTTGCGTATTGCCCGTCGGGATCTGCTTGGTTTGGATTTCGAAGGTGTTCTCAAATATCTTCGCGTCAGTTTGCCCAAACGGTTTATTACTCCGGAAGCCGGTGAAGAGCTTCTCAATCAGGCTGTCAATGCCAAGGTACGGTCCGGTTTCCTGCTGAGCCTCCTCAATCTCTTTCTCGCTGTTTCCTGATGATTATCACATTGCTTCACTGAATTCGTATTCTTGGGTGGCCATGCGAGAATACCCGTAACATCAGTGCACCCGTTAACCGGTTTGTTATTCAGATACGAAACAACGCTATGTGAGATGATGTCAATTATCCCCTAAATCATTTTCGATTTTCAGCCAAGGTCTCCACACGAGTAAGACCAATCGCAGTAACTGCGGAATAAAATAGGCTAAACTAACCCTTAATTTAATGAAGACATTTGTTCCAGCTTCTGATCATCAATTGTAACTTGAGGGTGAATGGTTTGGCTCAAAGTCATACTTCGCAGTTTGGATCCCACCATATTCACAATGAGGAAACAGCTGTTCAGCGCTCGTCGTCAGTCATCACATACAAATTCCTATTTTAAACAAATATCTGATAGAACTTATGTGCGCACGTGTATCACCCATATTGCACAATGAATGAACTTACTATAAATGAGACCAACACTCATTTGTACATTTGCCTGGAATAAGACCAGAACAAATGCTCCTAATCTTTAATTTTTCTTCTTACTGCATTTAATCAGATACACGTGTCGATTGAAATATTGTGCCGTACTTTGTCGGGCGCGTGATATTATTGCTTTGCTGCTAATCATGAAGTCCGTTCACCGTCTGGGGAGGGGGCTTATAACTTCGTTTTTTGGTGGTGCTGGAGGATTCGCTTTCTTCATATAGTAAATTTACTTGTTAAAACAGCTTAGCTTTTCAGTTCATGCTTTATTTTCTCTGTGAAATTCACTAGATTACCCTAGCAATTATTGTGAAATACACCCGTCCCCATTGTTCAGTTTACGACGGTAGAGCAGCTCCTGAGGTTGTATGTTTGTATAATGTCTCTATTTTTTTTTATCATGCTCGTCCCTAAAGTTGCATTTCCTTCATGAGAATTCATCCGCTCCTGTTTTTGTTCTTATTTTCCGTTCGCAATCACCGATGACTCACATAAAGGTGACTCCATCCAAACTGATCAAATATGCTAAAGAATGGCTCGCAATTCGAGCTCAAGAAAAACTGTCCGAATCACCGGTTCAGGCTTTGGAACGTCAAGTGGCAGCGTTACGGGACCAGGTGAACCGTTTGGAGCGTGAGAACGAAGCACTGGCCTCCGGTCTGATTAGCAGCAAAACTTCCATGCATCGAGAAGTTGACAAGGTACCTTGGTATGCCTTTGTGCGAGTGTGGGTTTGTGTACTGCGTTCTGTTGTTTCACTTCCAGGCGATTGGTTATTCATTAACGCAGCTTGTGTGTGTGTTTGCCGCATTTTCCTTATAATGGTAATTGTTGCTAACGCTTCCCGTCTGTTCGTTTACGGTGGTGTATACGACTGGTTTATCATGTTTAACAACAGCTGTCCGATTGTTCACTGACCGTCATTACGATGCCACAGATTGCATCGAAAGCCGAACTGGCTGTCCCAGTTTTCAGTTTTCTACGCCCATCCCACTCCCCGCGCGCAGACACAATGTGTATATGAAAATAACAATAATGTGCCCGACTCTATTATACTAGAACTTGCATTTCACTTGTGTTATTCCACTGGTGTTCCTTAGTTTTCTCATCACTTATGTCTGAACTCTTCGAACTAAACTATAATCGATTCGGTAGTTCTATCGAGGGGTTTGTTGTATTCAAACTGGCGTTTTCTAACGCATTCACCATCCAGTTTCCAATACAACATGATTCCAGATCCTCTTTTGTCCGCATCTCGTTTCCTATCCCTTCTCTCTATCTTTCGGTTTATCCATACCGTTTTAGCTGGAGGATAAGGCAGAGATTTTGACTCGTGAATTGTTCGTTTCCCGTCAAGATCTCCACGATACACTGGAAGAGAAACGACATCTGGAAAATGAAGTAACACAAGTGAGCAACACAACCTTTATTGCCACTGTTTCTTGTTGAACCTAGTCCATCTGTTCGTCTGTCCCTGTCCTGAGTTGTTCATTCTATGCAGCAATGCATGCTGAAGGAATGTATGTATCAGAGAGCTATTATCGAATTGTCCATCAATCGTACTGATTCCAGGTTCACACTACTTTTAAAAGATTCACTATATCTACTTGCCACCACAAACCTCTCAAGTGACTGATAAGCAAATTAGTTATCCAAGGGAGAATAGTTTCATGACTTTGAGCACTCTTGTAGCCCGATAATATGCTCCTGCGTTATCTTTTCTTCTAAAAAATTGTAATTCTGGAGTTCGCATAATTAATGCTTTATATATATATATATATATATCGTCACAATAACTCCAGTCGCAGCACCGGATAAATTTGTTTGGGCAGCTTTCAGAACCGCGAAATCGGTCGTGCTTCCAGGGCATTTTTGTCCATTCATTCATATACTACTTACTGTCATAAATACATATATATGAATATATGGGGGTAGATTGCTATCTGATACGAACGCTTCTTAGCACAGGGAAGTTATATCTCGCAACATTGAAGTAGAATATTACGAACAGCTACCATGATATCCTTTCCATAGGAGAAGTTCGAATAGCAAGGCGGCAAAGGGTGGGAAAAGCTCGTTGTAGACCCCCAGCCATCCGGAATACTATATTATTGGCAACTTGGGAACGCGATCGGCATCATACCGCTCTGATCATAAAGTTTATTTTTCCCTCATTATTTTAATGCTTTCTCTGAGATGGTATTGGTGGTTAAACACGAAACCACTTTATCACTAATTCGAACTGCTGAGCACTAACTATCCAATCAAAAAATGACTGTGGTTGCATGCACATCTAAGGGCTTGCGTTCATGCGAGAGATTGGATGAATATACCTCTTCATTTAACCACTATTCCGTTCGTTTATCTATCCCTTCCGTGAAACCTTTTAGGATTTGATTCAACTAATTAACCGCACACTACTATCCCAGTCCATGAATGTAAGGTACAGATTGTTGTAGCATTCCATGTCTCGCGGTTCACAACACGCACAGACGTCTCCGGTGACCAACCAGAAACGCACAAATGTTTCAAACGCGATCCCTGAAACTCGTGTTTTGAAGTGTCACCATCGCACCTGAATGAGAAAAGCACCAGATCAGTAGTGGAAACATCTTTCGACATCCATTACTAGTGTGTATGTGGGAACATGCACATGTAATCGACCGCTTTGAAAATATGTGTGTGTGTATGTGCATAGTATGACGATAAACTTCATCCCAATGGTTTGCACATTCGATGCAAACAGGTCTCTTCAGTTTGCGCATTATTCCTTTGCACTAACGCGCGCAATATTGCCCTGCTGTGTGCGTTTTGTTGACATCTTCATTGTTCTGTGATCACTTTTCTGGCTCTAGTGTGGCGAATGTAGCAGATTGTGCGATGGCCTTCATCGCTGAATAGTTTTTTTCTATTCGATCGACTTCGTTGTGTGTTTGTACTGGAAGCATTACATGAAGATGATTTTTTCTAGATGAACCGTCAGTGGGAAGGGAGAAGTGGTTAATGTTCATCGACCACGTTGGTTCTGTTTCATTGCTGAGCTCATTTGGTAATTGTGTGTATCCTCGCCATTCACTGTTAGCCTGTTTGGAAGCATCTCCATATACGTGGCTACAGGAACATGCTACCAAATACGCGTGCATATCTTTTCCATAGTTAGACGATAGCCAAGGGTGATATGCCTTTCATCAAAGTCTAAACGCGATGACCAAAGGACTTAGTTAGGATATCGCGTTTAATGACCAGTGATCTCGTGTTCAGCCTAATCGTCAGTGTTAGGTACCACGAAGGGCGTCATGCCCTGAAATATTTACACGGAAGATGTCCGAACGTCCTCAGGGGGTACCAAGCGAAATTTTCAAAGTACCACAATCCAATATGTACACTAAAAGGTCACCAATACAAAGACCATATATTATACCACCCAATGCAGGAGCTTTTACTCTCATACGTCATGCACTGCACCGTCCTAACTACTCACATAGTACTCAAGAACCAGTTTTCACTATTTTTCAGCCATGTAGTACTCTATCGTCACTATCCAGAAATTACCACCTCAGGAACTTCCTTTTTAATGGGTACTCCAAATCATCAGAGTATGCCCTACCTGGAAAATGGCCTTTGATTCAGTCGATCTCTCTGAACTTTGATGCTACCCTTCCCTTCAGGTTGTGCCTGAGAGTTTTATTTCAGTACTAGGATCCCTTTGTAATATGGTCGAAACCGAGCCTGAGCTCACGGCACTTATTCACCCGAGTTCGCTTCGGGTTTCCCTCTCTCCTTTTCTATTTTACTTCGTTTTGATTTGAATATGGCAACAACCCTATCCTCCTGCGGGCATAGTGGCACGAATTTTCTCCCAGATAGCAGACTGTTTGATCTGGAGTATGCAGATGACCTTGTACTGCGAAATTGAAATCCAGGTAAGTTGCAAGCGTTTCCGGATAGTTTGAGTGCTAGTGTAGCCATGTTCGGTACGCGTTTTTCACCCTCAATAAGTGAAATGTTGCTACACGATTGGATTGACCCAGCTCCCAACCTCAATCTAACTGGGGAAGTAATAGAGGGGGTCGTCAAATTTCGCTACTTGGGCAGCCATACGTCACCACTGGTGGACGCGTCACAAATGAAGTATTGGCACGCATACAAACGGCTCGGTTGGTATTTGCAAACTGGAGACATTTGTGGCACTGTCACGACATCCGGCTGTCTGTGAAGGGTCGAGTCTATGCTGCAGTAGTTACGTCAATCCTGCTCTACGGTTTAGAGACTTGGCCACTAAAGGAACAGGATAACAATAGATTGTCGGTGTTTGAACACCATTGTCTACGTAGCGTTGAACGAATCTGGTGGGGCAACCGGACGAGCAGTGCTGAAGTGAGGCGCAGAGTTTTCGATTGGTGCAGTCGCCTACTGGAGCAAGTGGTCGGCCTCCATAGATTACGTTCGCTGGCGCATGTTGCGCTTGCCACCAAATATGTTAACATGGCGCACGATGCTTGCCCAGGTAGGTAGGGGATGGATAAAAGCGGATTGTGGTCTAAATATGACCGAACACGAGGATGTGACGGCCCTAACCGAGAGACTCAGTCATATTGGTCGCTTTAGGCTCCCTGGATGGGAACCGAGATCACGGTAACCAGGGGTTAGAAACACTGAGTGACATGACTGGGTGTCGCAAACAATGGCGCTCATACATCTATCCATCATTTTTGCAACCCTAGTTNATATGAATTCCTATTTCCCCTTTTAATCTGCTGTCAACATTCCAATCTTCATTTTGCTCTCCTATGCAAAAGGGCAGCTATAAAACATCAACCAAAACCGACGCACGAAAATGCACGGTTTGTGGTTGTAGAAAAAGAAACTGGTATTACCTGGAACTGTCTCCAACAATCGATTCGTTCAAGCTGCAGTTCGAGTTAGCTTTGAAATATCCACCCACTGTGAGTAAACCTACCTGTTGGTTGTGTATTAGTACTACCATCCGATTCCGTGAGCAAATGCCCTGTACGATTCAATGAGCTTTAGTTTGGTAATTTAACCTTTATTAAAATTTGATATACGTTTGGATTCCATACTTACCTTTCAACTCCGGTTTAATCCTTCCTCGTAGACTGGCCTAAGGGTAGCTAAAAGCAGCTCAACTACTTTAAATTTGCATTTTTTTGCGGGTCGTCAATCGTCAATTCAATGATGCGCATGCCAACAGGCCAACACATTTTTGAAGTGACATCACAAACTGCAGGCGGATTTTTATACTTGTTTTATTTCTGTTTCGTTCATTCGAATTCCGGTTTCAAGTAATGGAAGTCAATTAAATTTTGGTGATCAGTCATCTCAGCTCACTACCATCAGCATGCTTTACCGGTCGACACTGTATTCCCTCGCACCACCACTCATCTGTGCTCACCAGCGACTCCCGTATCCGTCCATGGAGAACCGTGCTGGGATTTTATGTAGTTCATCATTCCTAGACCTAGTACTCAAACTGACAGTTTCCGCTACCGATTGGTTTACGCTCTGAAGATTTTCTATTGCCCTTGGCGTCGTATTGTCCTCACAAAGGAGGTGAAATATCGCTGAGGGTGCGTAATTGGGATTTGCACTGGATGATCGTAGCATTTCATGATCCTTGTCGGTCTCGGTATCTTGGTTTCTGATCCCATTAACTTGACTCGTTAGCAGATATACTCGCGATCGCAGAATCTCTTGACATTATAACGAATCAGCGAACACTGGTTACCTTTTGTCACGGCTCTTTCTTTTTCAATTTGACCACAACGGCTCTGGTTTACGCCGGGCTATCCATTTCTGAAAATTTGCTCTGATCCCTCTATCCGGTAGACTGATACTTCGCATTATTATCAGTATCAATTCTGCTCATCTTGTGTTACTTGTTTCATCCACTAGATTTTGGATATCAGTGTCGGCATGCGTCCATCTCTTAAAACAGTGTTGGTTGTTATCATTCAAAAATGAAATGCTCAGCGGTTTCTGTTATAGGTGTTTATACAGGTAGCTAAAAGAAGCACACGGAACATCAGAATGTTTTCTCAGGATTTGTACGCACTTGTCATGTGTCCTCTTGTTCATCGCCAGTGAATATTGTTTATTCTGATGAACGGAACCAACTTCAAATTAATGTGGTGGAATTCCACACTTCCCTGTACAGCACATTTCTATGACTGAAGTTCTCTTCGCCGCCGTGGAGTGTGTAAAAATTTGCTTCCCTTATGTTTGTACCGATCGTGTCTTTTTTGAAAAACTCTACTGTTCATTTTTCTCCCTCTGCATTTTTACATTCAGACTTAATGTTTGTTTGAATTGAATAGGTCAAACAAATGCTTCGTGATACACTGAATCAAGTTGCTGAAGATAGATTGCACCAGCAAACTCTGATTGCCGCCTATCGCGCCGTTGCATCGGATTTGAGCAGACCACGTTCCTGTGAACGATGCAGTGCCGGCCCAGAAAGTGTCAATGGATCTGCCGAGGTCAAGCACGCTACAACCTCGCAATCTCCTGAATCGGTCGTCTTGCATTTGCGTCTTCTCTGGTCCCTGATCGAACAGGTTCATCAGTGCGATCGATGTGGCCCGGTTCTTGCTGTCACAGTTCAGGAATGGGAAAAAAACGTTTCTGAGAGTTCGGACTCAGTGCGACCGGAATCTGTTGTGGAGAACTTGGTCACGGAGTATTTGAAGGATAATTCCACCCAGTCCTGGTCCAGCGATGATGGAGTGGGTGTGCAAATGGTAATACTATGCCGCTTTCTGACGTAATTGTTTCACTGGGTTTCACCCCCGAAATGGTAGTTCGGTAGCCGAATCCTTCAAGGAAATTCACTTGATGAATCCTGGGCAGCTTAGCAGTATTCTACTCACTAGAAAAAGATTGGCTAATTTGTTTCCTAGACATATTATTGTGCCTGGATTTCCTTGAAGCTCAATCTCGACTAAACACGCTATATATATATATATATATATATATATATATATATATGAATTTTCGTACGGAGTTCACAACCGGAGCCTTTGGCCAAACAGACTCAGCCGTGAGGCAGTGGGGCGGTGTGTGAAATTTGCAAGTTATTGGGGGTCCGGTGTCCAGTTCATCGAATGATACGTCCGTCGGACAGAGTCAAACCTCCAAGATTCCCAATCGAGCCGATGACCACTACCACAACCAAAAAGGTGTGGGTGGGAGTGGTTCCGTCCCCTCTCCTTAGTTGGTTTGCATACAGGGCTTTTAGCCACTGTCCTAGCTGAATTATCAGCGGTTCACCGACCCGGTCATAGCCCCAGATACCGACTTTTCGGCTTCTGACCTTAGTGGAAAATCACTGCACAGAAAGGCAGTGAGCAGGACTTCCGCGGCGTAGGCTGTTTGAGACACCTGGTCGTATAGAAGCATTTCGTTAGGTGCAACGGAGGGGTGACCAGCCACAACGCAGACACCAACCCCGGCCATACTGAGGATTGACGCAGGCAAGATTTGGGCAGTAGGAGCCACGAATAGGAGTTGTCAAAATTTGTTTACCAACTATTGTGATAGCATTTAAGATTTTTTCTTTGTTTTACGCATGTTTTTAGTTTGCCGAATTATGTCTATACCGGACTCATCTATATCCCTTTTGGCTTTCAGATGACCGTGGCCTCACCTGAAACTGTACCACACAAACTGCAGACAACCCAGTTCCAGTCTAACGAATCAAACACTGTTACCACGAAATCCAAACAGTGGCTTACGAACACCCTGAACAGTTTACGTTCCATAGGGTCCACAGATCCAACTACCTCAACATCTACCGGGAACAACAGTTCGATTGAGACTACACCCAGCCTATCTATACCACCAGTGTATGCGCGAGATACGAGTCAGACCAAATTGAGTACGACGAATGGGTGCTAATCAAGTATTATCGTTCATATTTATTTTAGCCCACAATGGGAATTTCGGCGCCTCCACACCAATCAATCGCTTATCCGCTCTTGTTCACGTGCCCCACCACCGCCCCTGTCCACCATCATTTAATTTGCCTTGTGTTGATTTGTACATAGAAACTCAATCCAACCTCGATCTTTTTCCACTTAAATGGAGTTATTTTTCTGTTTCCTTATCACTTCAATTTTATTTCTGCTTTTTTGAACCATCCATTTATTTTATTTCTATCCGTACTTATACAAAAGCTCGTTATTGTTCACAAAAGCGGAGCTGAATTTGGCTTCTGTGCTGTCATAAATTTTCAATCTCTGGATTGTTTTCACTCATCTTACTCTGTCTACACCGGTCCCAATCAAACAAGTTTTGTTCTGTCAATCACGATTGCCGTTCCCATCTACCGATCCATGCGCAACTGTGTTCTTGTCATTTTGTTCACCACAAAATAAATACAGATGAACGGAAACGATCTGTTGATTATTGATATTTCGTTTTCATCTCGTTTCTCCCTCATGATGCATTTATCCGCATCTGTTAGCAGTTTAGACGATCTCAGGCTGACGCTTTTGTCAAGACAAGGTCCTATTTCCTGCACACATCAGTATTCTGATTTTTTTAATCGGGTCTGCATCGATCAGCATTCAACGGGCTTTCAAGAACATCACGACGAGACTGCATATTGATCTGGTGTGATGGCTCGCGTGCCTCCATCACAATGCGAGCTATACAAAATGGCTTTTCGCAGCCGTACATACAATCATGCCTGGAAGGTCAACGGGTATAGGCCAAACGAAGCTTGGTCTCACAAGGCCACCTGTTTGGGCACCTCCTGGCTTCCCTCATTTATCCACCTCCGGCCCTGGAGAGACCACTCCAGCAAACAAACACGGTGAGGGGCAGTTCACCGGTCAAAAACCCCGCTAAATGGACGCAGAAGCGGAGTACCTGGGGCTTCCTCTCGACGGTGAGAGAAGTCACGCATATGAACTGTACGTTTGCGGAGAAAAGTGTATTTGAACCCCTTCAGTTGCATTACGTCTGACTGAGAGGTCAGGTAGACAACGAAAAATGAATTGTTTACTTTATCAGTTTCCGTTTTAATTGCCTGAACAGAGCGAATGCCTACCAGTCCCGTATATCCATTAAAAAAGGAAGCCAACCGAACAAACAATGACAGATAAGAATGTCATATGTATTCGGCTTGCATTGCAAGTCACTAAAGTCAACCGAATCACCAAAATATAAACCGAGAGTTTGGAGAACCTGTTCCGGAGTTCAGTTTCAGTTTCTACAACCATTAACCAAACACTATCGTGCGCCGGTATTGGTTGCCGTCTTTTGGCTGCCTATTTGAATGAATATGAGGAGAAAGACAGGAAAGGTTTAAAGTAGGATCGAAGAGAAAATTTAAGATTTCATTGCACTCATTTTGAAGAAGCTCAACAAGATGCACGAGCGCCACTGTTTGCGGCACCCAGCCATATCACTCAGTGTCTCTAACCATCGGTTCTGATCATCCCGTGGTCCCGAGCCAAGGAACCTACCAGGGCCTATGTGACCCAGTCTCCTGGTTAGAGTTTTCATACCCTCGTGCCAGGTCTTAGCTTGACCACCTTTGGCTTTCTTCCACCCACTATCTGCCACGGCGAGCATCGCTCGCCGTGGCAACCTATTTGGAGACATGCGTAAAACATGCCCCAACCAACGTAATCTATGGAGGCCGATCACTTGCTCCAGTGAGTCCGCGATTGCCTAAAATTATGCGCTTAACCTCAGCATTGCTCATCCGGCTACCTCACCAGATTCATGCGTTCGAACACCGACAGTCTATCTTTATGGCCAAGTTTCTGCACCGTAAAGCAGAACTGGCCGAACTGATACAGCATATACTCGACCCTTCACAGACAGCCGGCTGTCGCGACGGCGCCAAAGATGTCTTAAGTTGGTAAATGCCAACCGATACTTCTGTATGCGAGCTGACACTTCATCCGTGATGCGTCCACCGGGTGAGATATAGCTGTCCAGGTAGCAAAATTTGTCTACTTGTTCTATTACTCCCCCAGTAAGGACTTGTATTTGTAACTTGTGTAAGCATATGTGCTTACATTTCAGTTAAAAATGTACGCTGTTCGTCACGCAG